AAGCTTACGAAATTCCTAAATGACTCAACTTCTTTCTAAATGAATTTCATTTTACATTTAACAATATATTTTCCTTTCAAATTTATATATATTTTTGTGTTTCTAAGAAAAATCAATTTATAAATTACATTTATATAGCTTTTAACATTTTCGACAATGCAATATATTTATCTGATTAGTGATATTGCAATGTATTTATATTTTATATTTGTTTAACAATGCAGATTTCAGTGTTTAAAACTTTTTTCATATATTCTATTGAGCAACAAAAACTTGTGATATCCCCCAAAAAACACTAACATGTATAAAATTACGCCAAGTACAGGATTGCTGTGAATTCCTCTAACAATAAGTATTGATATCATATTATTGAGGCCAAGTACATATGTCACTACATGTTTTCCTATTATATGATCTAGCATTGGCCCATCATTTTAATTATATTTTCAATATTTCCTATACCGTTTTCGCTACTCTTTTATGTTACTGCTGCTTCCCGTATTTAATTATGGTTTAATGGTGATTTAATAATTAATAAAACTTTAGGTGATTCCTTATCGAGTACTACTTGGCGGGTCTGTGCCAGGAATTCCAAAGTACTTACTCTTTATACGTGCTCATAGTATTCTAATGCTGTATGTTTGTTATTAAGCTTTTACCGTGTTTATTTTTGACGAGTTATTGTTAATATGCTTTCTATAGACAATTGGTACTGGTTTTGTACCAAATTTATATCAAGAAATGCACGGACCCGCCACGTAGTACTCGATAAGGAATCACCTAAAGTTTTTTTAATTATTAAATCACCATTAAATCATAATTAAATACGGGAAGCAGTAGTAACATAAAAGAGTAGCAAAGACGTTATAGGAAATATTGAAAATATAATTAAAATGATGGGCCAGTGCTAGATCATATAATAGGAAAACATGTAGTGACTTATGTACTTGGCCTCAATAATATGATATCAATACTTTTTGTTAGAGGAATTCACAGCAATCCTGTACTTGGCGTAGTTTTTTACACGTAAGTGTTTTTTAGGGGATTTAATAACTGCAACCGTGGTTCAATTACGGAATATGCCCTTAAAAGAGCATGTTCATAATTCTAAAATGTAATAGTTTCTTAACAAGTCCAACTTATAATTTAATTTTGTTTTGCAGGAGGGTAAATTAAATCAGTATAATCAAGGGCTTTATCTTCGCAAAAGATATGGTAAACTTTTGGGTACTGTTTATAGCCCAGATATATTTTATCTACGCAGCACAGAGGTGGATAGAACAAAAATGTCTGCTATGTTAGAAGCTGCTGCTCTTTGGAGACCTGAACAAAATCAAATCTTTAAAGAGGATTTGCCATGGCAGCCTGTTATTCTTCATTACGAGCCTAAAGATAAAGATAATGTATAATTTGTACAATTTATTTTCTACCATGATACCAAGGGGACACTCATAAAGAGGGCCAGTCCTCAGGTATTCTCTGTTTTACTGAATTCTATGATGCAATTTTCTCCTCTTGAATCTGTATGTTGACTTTACCATTTTTAGTTGCTGTTTGCTTCATGCCCATTGAGTACATCATTCTATTAGGTTGGCCCTGTTTCCTAGTATCTCCTTTGCAAGAATTTGAGTACAAAAAATGTTATTTAACTGTTTATGTTCTGTGATAATATTTATATTTAATTCTAGCTTCTTCTGACGACTCCATGTCCAGCCTATTTTCAGGAATTGGACAGAGTAATGAAGTCTGCTGAAATTATAAAGCTTCAAGAAGAAAATGAATTAATGTATCAAGAACTCAGAAATTTCACTGGTCTAAATATTAGGAATCCAGATGATATATGGTCCCTCTATGGCACTCTCAGAGCTGAGGTTTGACAGTTTTTAACTCATATACTGTTTCATAACATAATAGGAAATTAATTATTTATTAAAAGCAGTGGGTATACTACCAAACCAACATGACTATTTTCATGGTTCATGAATCGTGAAGAAATTGTGATATGTAGGAATTTCCAGCACAAAACTTTGAATATACATAGAATTGAATTTCTTTTTAAGCTATTACGTGATAATTTCATAGGGAATAATGGAAGCAAATTAAAATTTTGATTTATGTATTTGTTCCAATGTATGTCATATTGAAAATTGCACATTTCTTGTCTTTCCCTTTCCTTGCTTCTGAATGGATTTACGACATTGCAATGAGTTATTTTCTAGTTCAGTTCTTTCTTCTTGTTTTGTTTCCTCATAGAGGAAGCTATGTGACGATGGAACATTTTTCTTTCGAAATCTTCATGTCATTTTCTAAGCCTATCGCCTAAGAACCTAGAAAACCTAAAGAACTTACTAAATGCAGGCTCTGTTCGCAAACTCGCTCCGCGATTAAATTTCGGGATTTTAAATATCGGTATTTTAATATGTCGGGATTATCATTTGTCGGTATTTTAATTGTTCGGTATTTTGTCTGTTGGTATTTTGACCATCGGGATTGTATTTGTTGGTAAAACGGATGGCACCGCCTTAAGGGGTTACATACCCTAGTCGGATCAAATAAGTCAACAAGATTTGTCCTACATTTATTAAGCGTACATGAACTATTAAAATATTAAATTCAGTTTAAACAAATTGGAAATTGTTAATTTTGTACTGTGATAAGTACTGCGTTGTATCTGTACTGAATCTTCAGATTCGACATAGATTTTTCTATAAAAATGATGCAACTAGAAAAATGTAATATTTTTTTGATAAATTAGTCCAGTAGCTATAGTCTGACTTAAATTTATGGTCATATTTGAAAATGTACAAAAATGATATTAGTTAACAAACGAATAGGGGGGAAAATGAGAGAAATTCACCGACAGACTATACTACTATGTTATTTTATTGAAAGAATTGAAATGAGGTGTATGACCATAGTGTAGAAAATGAGTTCCGTAAAAGAGAACGCAGGTTTACTTTTATTGCTTTTATAATCAGCAAAAGATACAAGCGATGTGTTAGTAAAAGATATACACTACCGGTCAAAAGTTTAAGTTCACTTGCTTTATTTTTGAATTCTACACAATTAAGTCGGCTACTCAGTGAATTTTGTCAAGCACGTGCGTTTTACCTATAACAAGTCGATACACGCTACTGATCAGAGTGTAGGAGGGAGTTTCGCGTTTGGGAGACGCGTAGATCGAGCACAAACTTGTTATGACAGGTTGCATTCTCTCGATGCGTCTAGTGCGTATTACGCGTAACATCTTAGTGCTGCGAGAGCTCTTTCCAAAAGTTATGTTTCCAATTGTTTTTCATATTTTTCTTTAGAAAAAGGTAAGTAGAACATTTTTCATATTGAAAATCGTTACTGTTAAAGAAAAATTTATATTTAAATTGACGTAATTCGACAAATATCATCTCATTATTGAAATGTGAAGAAAACCATTTTTTATAGTCCGTATTCACAACTCGCTCTTAAAGTCACTAACAGAGTGGCTTGTAGTTAAAAGTCACTAAGAAAAAATTTAAAAGCGCGCTATTAGCACTAAAAGCGAGTTCTGAATACAGGCTTATGTGTCAATCGTAGAGAAATGGGTCGAAAAGCAGAGCTGAGTGTAGAGACACGAGCAGTCATTGTGGCGTTACACGAAGAAGGTTATTCAACGCGAAAAATTGCTTCTAAATGTGATGTTTTTCAAACTGCAGTCATGGGACCGTTACAAAGAGAACAAGGTGAACCTAAACTCTTGACCGGTAGTGTACTCGGCTTCAGCTGTTGACAACGCAACGGTTTTCGTGATGACCAATTTATCGTTGCTCCTGCCAATTTGAAAGCAAAACCGGTATAGGATCATCTATCATCAATGTTAATAGTCCAATCAGCGTCTGCATAACCAATGAATTCCTTGTTTGTTATTTCAAAAGTCAAAACCAAATCTTGGGTCCCTTTTAAATATCTCAAGACGAGTTTTGGAGCTTTCCAGTGTTCTTCGCCTGAGTTTTCGTTGTACTGGCTGAAACTACTCACAGCATAGGCTATATCTGAACGTATAGAAGTTATGAAATACATTAATGATCCAACAAGGTTCCTGTAGGGGATCTTCTCCATCGCTTTCTTCTCGATTTGGGAGATCGGACACATCTTCTTCGTTAACTTCACGGCGGAATTTATAGGAGTTGCTACAGACTTGCCATCTTTCATGTTGAATCGTTGGAGTATATTCTGAATATATTTCTTTTGAGTCATGCGGATGGTTTACGTTTCGTCGTTTTGAGAGAGTTCGAGACGCAGACAGACATGTGCCTAGATCCTTCATCTTTAAAGATTTCGATAGGCATTCTTTCAACTCCTCCGTCCTTTTTTTCTCGTTCGAAGCAATAATCAGATCGTCGACGTAAATTAAAACTATCGTTAATTTCTTGTTCCGTTTGTGCATGTAAACACAAGTATCAGCGCCGGATGATTTCATTCCCAGCTCTATCAGTCGCTGGTCTAGTTTTCTGTACTATTGTCGTCCCGATTGTTTCAATCCGTATATAGACTTTTTTAGAAGACACATCTTGTTCTTCGATAAATCGTGTGAATTAAGTATCGTCGACAACCCTTCAGGAAAATCCATAAAGATTTCCTCTTCGAATTCGCCATTTAGATACGCACTAACGAAATCTAATTGTTGAATTTCAAGGTCAAGTTCCGCTGCCAGTCCTATAACAGTACGAACCGAACTGGCTCGAGTAACTGGAGAAAGTGTTTCGTTATAGTCTACGTAGCGTTCTTGAGTAAAACCCTTCACTACGTTCCGTCTGAGCAGAATTTAGTCCTTTTAGTCCTTTACCCCAAATTTTTGAAAATATACAGCTGTTGGTATTTTTTCTAACCAAATTTTATATGGAGTATCACCGTTTAAACTTCTTGATGGACACCTATTCCTTACGTACGATGCAGTGTAGATAACTTGAACCCAAATATTCGCTGAAAGTTTTGAATGCCATCTCAACTAACGTACAATTTTTGTGCTCAGCAATTCAGTTTTGCTGAGGTGTATATTCTACCGTTCGTTAATGTTGAATTCCATGTACCTCCAGTTCCAATACTCTCCGTCATTATCGGATCGCAGAATTTTAATTTTTCTATCGGTCTGCTTTTAAACTTTCGCTTTGGATTCTACAAATTTATCAAATAATTCGCTCTTCGCCTTCAGGAAATAAATTTCGCACCACTTAGATTTATCGTCTATAAAAGTGACGAAATATTTCGAACCCGATAGAGATGCACATCGTATCGGTCCACAAATGTCGGAATGTATTAGTTATAAAATATCAGCTTATTGTGTGCTTGATTCTTTGAATGGAGTCTGTGTCTGTTTACCTCGTACGCAGATCTCACAAGTTGCTAACTCTCCTTCGCCTTTAATATTGATTCCGTGGACCTTCTTCTTTTGAATTAGTTCCCTGAGGTCTTTTCTTTTCAGGTGACCGAATTTTTCATGCCACGTCTGTAAACTGGACAGCCCTGTTTGCGCGATCGCTGCTTCTTTTATCGACTCTTGTAGAAAATACAAATTACCATCTTTTTTTGCAATAACCACGCTTCTTTTGTTTTTTGAATCGATAACTGATACTTCGGTCTTTTTAAAATTAACCTCGAATCCATGATCTGTAATCTTTGCAACGGATAGTAGATTAGACCGAAGGTCACGGACGTGTAAGGTATCTTCGAGTTTAGCTGTAACATTATTTCCAACGTCAATATTTACAGTGCCTACTCCGTTGATGGAAGTAGAATCATTCGATGCTTAATTCAGTTTTCGAGTGACAGGTTCATTTATTTTTACGAATTTTCTTTCGTCGTTGCACATGTGTGAAGATGCACCAGAATCTAGACACCATCGTTCTTCTCGATTTGCAACAGCATTCATGACAACTTCAGCATATTTCGTAACATAATCACTTTTCTTTTCTTCAGGTTTTCGAAACTTACAGTCCTTTGCCATATGGCCTTTTTTGCCACAATTATGACAATTAAATTTAAAATATTTTTGTTTCTATTAGCAAATTTGTTTTATGTATTTGCATGCAGGTGGAAGGGGTAATAAATAAAGATCAGTCAATCTCGTACGAAATAATAGAATGATACGTTTACTATGTTTTAAATATATTACAAGACTCCGGTCTCTATTTTTACTTTGCACTCGAGAGAGGCTCGGGCTCGATTGACTGAACTCTTCAGCACACTAGCATTCGATCCGATAATGGAACGTATTACACGTATATGCATACAGGCAAAACTATCGGGTACACATGTACAAAGCCACACATATGTCCCTTGCTCCTCTACTTAAACGCGTGTATTGGTATATACATATATGAGAACAAGCATTCCATTAGTTTCGTTTTCCTATCTTTCGCTTGCTGGTTTGTGACGAATAGCGCTTCCGATTTTTCATCGTTTCCATGTCTTCTTGCTTGATATTCGTCCAATATTTTTATCTTCAATTCATCTGGAGTTGCTAATTATTTTCGTGATTTCATAGCCACGCGATAAGACTCGAACGATTCTGGCACACTTGACAATAGAAGAACGGTAATCATTTCTTATGGAATTTTAATCTCCATAGCCTCCAATTTGTTAATTTTATCAAAGAAATTTGCTACTTAATCCCTTATATCTTGAGAATCACTTGCCTTATGATGGATTAATTCTTCCAGCAACATCGCTTTTCGCGTTGGTCCATCAGATTCGTAAGGGCTCATTCAGACCGAAACCAGCGGGAAGCGGGAAGCGAGCAACGGAATCTTGGCCGCGAAACTACATTTTCTGCCTTTTTATATTAGGTAACCGTATTAAAGCATTAAGAAATAAGTTATTTGCCTTAATTACGTATATAGAGTCAAGTATACTACATTGAAAATAATAATACATAATTTTTCTTAAAACATGACTTCATTACTAAGCAGATTCCAATGCTTGGACTGCGATTTTGGAAAGTTGATCAACGTTCAACTTTCCGTAGCAGCGACATAGCAAAAAGATGATGGCAACAAAGCATTAAGAAATAAGTTATTTGGATTCGTAAGGGCTCATTCAGACCGAAACCAGCGGGAAGCGGGAAGCGAGCAACGGAATCTTGGCCGCGAAACTACATTTTCTGCCTTTTTATATTAGGTAACCGTATTAAAGCATTAAGAAATAAGTTATTTGCCTTAATTACGTATATAGAGTCAAGTATACTACATTGAAAATAATAATACATAATTTTTCTTAAAACATGACTTCATTACTAAGCAGATTCCAATGCTTGGACTGCGATTTTGGAAAGTTGATCAACGTTCAACTTTCCGTAGCAGCGACATAGCAAAAAGATGATGGCAACCCTACTTCACATCATAGTTCATGTTTGAAATAAATTTTGAATTCGGCATCAGATGAAATGTGTATAGCCCGTGGTATAGCCTCGTTTTATGTTACATACATGTAGTCTCCTTTGTTACAATTTAACATCACGACCAATCACAATATTCCTATGCGTATGTACGTTGGAAAGAGGTACCACTCTATTCTAAAGTTTCAAGCTGTTTGCTGCTCGCTTCTCGCTTCCCGCTGCTTTCGGTCTGAATGAACCCTAAAGATTCTTCAAATTCGTCCAAACTTCAGCAGATGTATTGCATCCACTTATATGTTTCAATTCTTCAGCGCTTATGGCGTGGATTTTCCACGTGTCGTAATTTTTTTCTTCAACGGTGATATCTCTATCGTAGTCACGATGACTGTGAAAAGAACTTCCCCGTAAAGAAAAAAGTTCTGTTTCTGACTCAATCAACTTTTAATTTACACTTTTACTTCGTTATTTTATATCATCGCACTATTTTACTTTTCTGGGCCCATAACCTGTAGAAAATGAGTCCCGTAAAATACAACGCAGGTTTACTTTTAATGCCTTTATAACCAGCAAAAGATACAAGCGATGCGTTAGTAAATGACTCTGAATAGAGCTGACAAGTCGTTAATTGTTTCTAGCCATATTCCAACACATAGTACAACCAGAGATGAATAGGGAGATTGCCAATGGGCCGATATTCTTGAAACCAATTTTATTTTGGAGTAAACGCGCCACCTGAGTGGAGGGCCGTCGAGCCATACCCACGTTTTTGATTGGTCGAGTATATATAGATATACTACGCGTGATATTCGTGAGCTCTGTGAGACGCATGGATTATACCGGGTGGCACTGTAAAGCGTGTGTTTTCTATTGTCGACGCGTCACCTGGACGGAGAAGCTTCGAACCATACCCACGTTTTTGATTGGTTAAGCGTATGTATCAGAGTACTCTAAGCAACCTCCAAACGTGTATAACAACTGAAATACAGTTTTCCCAATCTGTACGTCACGGTAACTGAATATCATACGTGCATGGTAACGAGACAACGTGCGAGAGTCTCGGGTTCGAGACCCGATCATAGTAGTATAAGTTTGGGAGTTCTGGATATAGATTCCTGCACCGACATAATACCGACACTTCAGAGCCTTCGAAGGTGGGTGTCCGTGCTAAGTTGCTGTCGTGAGCTCTACGATTTCTGAAAGTGACGTCATCAGAACCCTCGATTCCAAGAATTTTTGCTCGATTCCGGGAATTTTGCGTCACAATCCGGGAATTTTGCGCTCGATTCTAGGAATTACGCACGATCGAGAACCTTCTAGAACATTCTAGAACCTTCTAGAACATTCTGGAAGCTTCGACGGTTCGTGTCCATGCTAAGTCGGGAAGGTTCGCTCCCAGAGCCGGCGGTCCTCTCGCTCGACGTTTTGAGACAGCCCCTTGCCCCCCACCCCGGAAAGCCTTCCAGAAGCTTCGACGGATTCGTGCACGTTCGTGCAGGTCTCGGACGTCAACCCTCAGCCCGTTTGACCTCGAACGTTATCTCGCAGAATTGCACAACATCTCTGG